CCAGTTAAAAAACAATCGCTGAGCCCAAAAAGCAGGGATTTGGGGGGGGGTTTGCCAGGCGTTGGGTGCTGGGGACAGATGCTGGGTGCAGCTCCTGGGTGCAGCCCGTTGCTATGGACCGTTGCCATGGAGATGGGCCGGGTGGCGTTGCCAGGTGCTGTCGCTAGGGGGTGGTTGTAGGGCTCAGTCGCTGGGTGCAGCTGCCAGGGGCTGTTGCCAGGTCCCTTTGTCACGTGACGGTTGCCAGGCAACCGTTGCTGCGTACCACTGATGCGCATGGTTGCTAGGCAACCGCTGCCGAGTACCGTTGCCAGGCAACCAATGCTGTGTGCAGTTGCTGGCTCCCGTTGCCAGGTAACCGTTGTCGTTGCTGGGTCCCACTGCCGGGGTCCGGTTGCTAAGCAACCGTTGCCGGGTGTAACTGTAGGGTCTCGTTGCCAGGCAACTGTTGCTGGGTCCCGTTGCTGGGTAAACATCACCGAGGGAGTCACCGGCCCGTGGCCAGGTGCTGGTTGCTGGGTAAACACTGCCGAGGGTTGCTAAGCAACTGTTGCTAGGTGCCGTTACCAGGCAGGATGCCGGTCCTGTTGCTAGGTAACCATTGCCAGGGAGGTCTCTAAGCAGGATGCGGGGTGCGTTGCCAGGTAACCGTTGCCAGGCAGTTCCTTTGCTGGGTAACCATTGCTGTTTGCTAGGGAACCGTTGCTAGGTAACCATTCCGGGTTGATTGCCACATCCGGTTGCCAGGCAACCGTTGTTGGGTTGTGCTGGAGGAGAACCGCCGCGTGGGCGCCTGGTAACCACTGCTAAGCAACCATCGCTGGGTGGTTGCCGGGTAACGGTTGCTAGGCAACAGCTGTCAGGTGACAGCTGGGTACCAATTGCTGGCCGGTTGCTAGGCAACGGTTGCCAGGCGACGGTTGCAGGAGTGTGTGTGTGGGGGGGGGGAGGTCAGTATGGGGAGAAGAGGAGGGGGGCATGGGCAGGACGCAGGGGTCCTGGGGCAGGACGAAGCAGGGCGGGTGCCAGGGGGGGGCCGGGCAGGAGGGGGGGTCCTGGGGGTCGCAGTGCCAGCGGGGGGGCGGCCATGGCTGCGGCGGCTGCTGCCAGGGCCAGGGGGGGAGGCAGCAGCCCCCCTCCTGCCAGCGCCTTCGGCAGCTCCTTGGGGAAGGGCAGCGGTGCCTGCGGGAGCAGGGAGGGGGTCAGTACTCCCCCATACAACCTCCCACGCCCCCACGACCTCCCACCCCCCCTTCCGACCCCTCCAGATCCACAGGGATACCCTGGAGCATCCCCCACCTCCAAGGTCCCCCCTTCAGATACCCTACATACACCCCCAGGCATGCTCCAAGCACCCTACGTAGGACTCTAATCACCCTATAGGTAGTTGTGAGCACCCCTCTGCCCCACAGGGCACCTCCACACACCCTATAAGTATTCCCAGCCCCCCCCCAGCTCCATGAGATACACCCTAAAATACAACGAAGCACCCTACAGACTTCACTCTTCCATAAAGACACCTCCAGGCATGCCCCCACCCCATAAGGCACCTCCCAGACACACTATGGCTATCCCCAGACACTCTCCTGCCCCATAACACGCTTCTAGGATGCCCTATAGACACCTCTGCCCCATAGCATGCCCCAGAGATACCCTCCCCATCTCACCAGCTCTGGGGGGCTCCGGGGTTTCTTGTGGCGGCTCAGCAGTGGGTTGGGTTTTCCAGCCACCCCATCCCGGTGCCGTCGGCTGGAGATGTGCTGGAGGGAAGGGGATGGGACACAGAGGGGTTGAGCAGCGATTAAAGATAAGGGACCCACGTCAAGGATGAGATTGGGAAGCTCAGGAGACTCTGGGAGGATTATAGGGGACATGGAGCTGTCTGGGGGATGTTTGTGGGGGAGGCTGAAGTCGCAGGGGGGGCATGGGGATGGTGCTGTAGGGTCCTCAGGGATCACAATGGGCTCAGGAGAGCTTGGGGGAGATGTATGAAGGTCGAATGGAGCCCTAGGGGGGGTCAAAAAGGCTTGAGGAAGGGTCTCAGAGAGGTTTGGAGTGGTCCTGTAGGGTCCTAAGGGGTCTCGATGGAATCAGGAAGGTATGGGAGGGATCCATGAGGGTTCAGGGGGACTCAGATAGGTTGGGGAGGTTC